TATGGTAGAGGCAGCTCAGGCAAGAGATCAAGGCAGATGTCAGACAAAGAAAATATAAACTAAAAGACAGGACAGGAAAAGAGTTCATAACCAGGACAACAAATAAGATTTGCAAAACAAGCACCAAAGCTCTCATTCCCTACTTTTTTGCACAACTGTCAAGTCCCTGTTCATAGCAGAAAATCAGCAACGATCTTTGCTTTGTGACAATCGAGCTATCCATGTATAATACATAAGGGGGATATGATCACCATGTATAATACATAAGGGGGATATGATCTCCATGTATAATACATAAGGGGGGATATGATCACCATGTATAATACATAAGGGGGGATATGATCACCATGTATAATACATAAGGGGGAATATGATCACCATGTATAATACATAAGAGGGGGATATCGTTTCATCAACAAGAGGTAGTTTCTGGATGCAAAGAGGTGAGGCATACATATATTTTTATACAAAAAGACATTATCCAAGGTGGGGGACCATCAAGATTCATGCTTGAAATTTTATCCATGCACATTGGTCAACCTTCGCTTTAGTTATGAGACATGGGGTTGATGTACTAAAAGAAAATAGGCTGTTCACTTTGCAAGTGAAGTTACACTATCTAAAAGATGTTTCACTAGAGCTTAGTGAATGGTGTGACATTTTACTTTGCAAAGAATGCCTAATCACATGCAAGGAAAAAAAAAAACAAACAGTATTTTTTGCTTGCACATGATTGGCTAATGGAAGTCAGTAGAGATTCACCAAATTCACAAAATTCCTGTAACCAGGTGCTTAACTAGAGAAAGAGCTACTATAAAGACACTTTGCTGCAGTTTCCTTGCATACCTATACAAAACTATTATCTTGGCTTTCAGTACCATTCAGAATCCATCAAGCAGAGGAGCCAGTTGGCATGAAGGGCTCGATGAAGGCTGCCCTGAACTTTCAGAAATGTAGTGTGGGAAGAGAATCTTGCATGTGAATAGATAGAGTGATGGATTGCAACTCACAGATATACACTCTTAATAAGAGGTGAAAAGAACAGTGCTCTGATGAAGAGGGCACAGCTCTTGAAATGCATATGTCATGTTCTTCTGGATGAACTTGTTACAGCATGGATGATTGAATTGGATTGTGATACATGCTTTGTGCCTGTACTTTTGTGAGTACATTTGAATTTTTTTTGTTAATAAAAGATCTTATGGTAATGCACTCGGCCAGTGTGCCTTCTTCTTTTTGTTTTTGCTGTTAACCTAAAGTATGTACTGAGGACCCCAGGAGCTCCAGGCAGATCCAGAAGTGAGATGACATATGAACAGTGGGACCACAATTTAATTTGCTGGGACTGGTGAGAGGGCATTGTTGCCACAGATCTATCGCTGCTAGCAGAGACTGCGTATATAGGGACTGGCCACCTAATTAGCAGCCTTATTAACGGCGTGCAGATTTTATTTGGACTTTACTTGTGTACAAAATGGGTCCCAAACACTAGCCGGCTGAGGAACTAGCACTAAGGACTGGTCACCCAGATAGCTGCTTCACAAGAACTGTGCCTATAGACCATAGTAAGAAGTGCCTCCTTAGGGATCTGTCAGGAACATCTAGCGCTCCTGATCAATCACAGCTGCTGGTATCATTCCTATCTATCAGCCCGCTGCTTATCTACTCTCTGCATCTGCTTAAACCTGTCAATTTGGGATTGCTATGGTAGAGCATCTTGAAAACTATCTTGTCTTGTCTATTGTGGGATTGCAATGGATGAGAAATATCACTATTAAACTACTGTTATTTAAAGGTTAAGTTCACCTTGTGGATAAAAATAATTAATGCCCATTTTTTTACAGGCAAAAAAATATGCATTTATTATTTTTGTCCAAAGGAGTCTGGAAAGCATTGCACCAGCAATCAGTAGATGCTATACAGGTCTCCGGCAGACCTGTCAGTATATCTGCTTGTTGTACGGGATGTACGGTCAAGCAGACATACTGACAGGAAGCTTCAATCAACTACTATGGCACTTCATAGCGCCTTGGTAGTTCATTGAACACTACAAGCCCACAGCCGCTAAGGCTGTTAGAACTTGTATGCACTCATTCACAGAACACTGTGAATGAGTGACGAGGCCGTGTGGGTAGAGCCCTGCACGGCCGCACTGTTTTCAAATCTGACAGATAGTATGGGGTAGATTATCTCTGTACTGTCAAAGGGAGAGGGGGACGGCGGGTGCAGCTGCAGCTATGGGAACATGTTACATGTTCCACCCTAAAAATGGGTGGAACATGTAACATGTTCCAAAGATGAACTTATCCTTTAAGACATGGTGTTGTGCATAATTAATTTGAATAATGCTAGTACGGATCCATATGGATCTCAAGTTTTAGGCTGTTTTGACATTGCTTGTCCAGGGTATAGCCTTCAAAGTAACTAAACCAAGTACCATACCTATTACTATCTGTGAGCAGGAAATACCTAATTCAAAGTCTATCAGATGGCTTAAGGGTGGTCCTGGCCAAACCAACCCTGTGTTGGGTCTGTGTTAATCTGATCATTAAGTGTATGCATGTCAGTGTGGATGTACGTGGGGGAAGCCTAGGTTCTAGAGCTTTTAAAGGTAACAAGGTTGTCAGTCCTTAATTTTAATATGGTTTCTGGAGGTTTTTAATATTATACACCTATTATGGTGAATTTACCAAATAATTCTGGTCAAATAGTCAAAAAGTTTTTTCATGCTAAGCCGCAGTTAGTTTCCCTTATGAGGCTGCATTGTTTGGGTTGGTACCCCTTTGGTGCTATCTGTATTTTGGGTTTAAGGTGATTTATGTGGCCAGTCTCTGGGTAGAGACCAAACCTCATTTAAGCCAGCCAAACCTGCAGTCTCATGCTTGTGATTTTGCATTTGTAACATGTACTGCAAGCTCCCTGTTTGTCTGTTAGTTTGGATTCCTTCGTTGATGACCTCAGATCAGATATCAACTATTGTCTGAACCAGCGGTGCCTTTGGATGTGACGTTCAGCGCGCTCCTGGTCTGCTTGCACGTTGTATGTGCATGTTTAGCTGGGTCTGAGTCACTTTTATTCATTACACACGCTGTCTATACTGGTGTCAGTCTGGGCACCTTGCTTTGACAGTCTGATCATCTCTCAGTTTGGATACTAAATCACCTTTGGAGTGGATTTTCAGCTTTGCAGAACATCATCTGTTGGAGTTCATCCCTCATTTCTTCAGTGTTGCTGTCACCATATTAATTATTGCTCCCAGAGTAACAAGTGCTATATGCTGGTTTTTTCAACAATCAGTATATTACTCTGGTGAGTTTTATTTAACCATTTTTGCTGGTGGATTCACTTGGTGATTAGTTATTTTGGACATTATTGATTATTTGAACTTTTGGACTTTTTTCTTTTTTGCTGGATTTCACTTTGATTTAAAATATTGTTTTTTATTGTTTTGTCACATTTTTTGTTACACTTTTGTATGTATTTAAGCGCAACCTATTTTTTTGAAGTTTTGTATATCCTATATGTTTATAGGCCAGGTTCTGCAGCTTACTTTTGCATATACAATTTCCGTGGCGCTGGTTCTATACTTATATAAAGATATGATTGTGCAGTTTGGACCAATCAGAGATTCCTCAATGATAGCAAATGGAAGGAACTAGTATAAGCATAGCAGAAGAAGAGACTCTTGAGGGAAGGCCTGACAGCCTGATTGAAGAAGTGGACCTGGAGAATGGATAGAAAGACGCAATACCCTTAAAGGCCATGCTCAAAAGGTGAGAGGGGGCCGAGAGAAACTTCAGCCTTTGTCCAACCCCTTGGGATGGGTAATATTTTATATACTTCTGACTAGTTAGCCAATTTGTTGGTGTTTGAACTTATTGTCTTGGGTGTTGGTTGCTTTTCTTCCAGCTGTTAAATTTAAATTCTTTAATTCTGTATACAATATATTTTTCACCTACAGTTTGTAATACATGCTTCATTGCTGACCTACCCCATTCAAATATTGGGTGTTATTTAATATTATTGATATTATTTATACTTTATTATTTGTTTGTTCACTGCCCCCCCCCCCCCCCCCCCCCCATTTTCTTTCATTAGTAGTACATATGGCTACCAGAGTGATCTCCACTGGCTTCTGGATCCTGTGCCAAGCAGCTGCACTGTTGCATTGTCAACACAGGAGATTGCCCACTTGGCACAGACTCCATTCTAAGATAGTTTTGCATTTTTTCAATGAATGCAAAGTGTTCTCTGAAGAGACGGCATGGAGAGGCAAGGTGGTGATAGACCAATGTAACAATGTCAAAATATCCATACCTGAAATTCTTCTTTAATAGGAATAGGATAGAAATAATTGAAATTCAGTATGGAAACAAGCATACAGTTTTAAATTTTGACCATAGATACATTTTAAGTAAATGATAAAGTTCTCTGCAAATCACATAGTAGACAACATAAATGTGAGATCAAGGAATTTTAACTGGAATGATCCAGGGTCTTCTGGCAGTTAAGACACTCTAACATGAAGTCTGATTCTAGTATCACATTCACAACATTTATAATTCATTGAAATCTTATTGGACTAGGCTATAGACAGTGAGGTATGGAGCCAAACCACTGCTGACATTAGATTGTATAAATATTACTGATCATGGGCAGTGCTATATTTCATGCACAAGACATTATTTATAAATCACCAGGGTTTCCATGGAGCAATATGTTCAGTAGATACAAGCAGAAATTGTTTCCAATATTTCAAATTGACTTTTTTAATAGCTGGATTAGGTTTAATATATATTTTTGTTGTGTGTGTAACTATGCAGTGTTTTGGGGAAAACAACGTTAGAATCTCAAATACATTGTTTAGGTTGATAAGCTGATATACTTTACTTTAGTTGAATAGGCATTTTTTTCTCATGTTAAAGTGATATTAAAGCCTAAGTTTTTTTTCTAATAATTAAAATAAAAAAGAGATATAATTTACCTGCTCTGTATGATAACATTGCACAAACCAGACCCTTACCTTCTCTTTTGGAAGCTGGTTTTTCCCTGCTGCGGGTGCCCTCTCAGCAAGCACAGTGCTAGGGGGGCACCCATGCAGGCAGGTTCCTGAGCTGGGCTGTGTGCATCCATAGGCACACAAAGCACCAGTAAGCCATGCCCCTGCTCCCCCCTCACAGGAGTTTGACTAACAGCAGCAGGATCCTATGCCGGGGAGGACTGACAACTCATGGGGCCCCCGGGCAATAAGGGATCATGGGGCCCCTGTGTCCTTGCCCACACTCAAAGCACACCCAAAAAAGCCTATAAAAAGGTACCAGGGGCATTTCATGGGGCCCCCTACTGACCCTGGGCCCTCAGGCAGTGCCCGAGTTTTCGAATGGTCAGTCCGCCCCTGATCCTATGACTCCCACTATTGCCAGTGTCTTATGTGAGTCCAGGAAATCCGTGGAGCAGTTCTGCAGCCAGGATAGTGATTGGTGAGAGAAGTCAGATTAGGGCTTAAGGGTGGGGGAAGGGCAATGTTTTTTACTTTAAGCATTTTCTTACCGCCCCATAGCAGATATACTGCTACAGGTCGGCCGTGCTGTGCAGAATCACGTATATAAACGTGATTCTACACTTCCTGGTCATGGGTGTCCGTGCATGCCGCTTCTGCTCTGAATAGTCACAGCAGAAGCCAGTCAGCGGGTGCTGGCCAATGGATGCCTGCCGATCGTCTAGTAGACTAACAGAACACAGCACTACCTATGTAAACAAGGCAGAGCTGTGTCCTGTCAGCGGCAATGTGCTAGATTCTCTTTCCATGCAAGCAGGGAAAAAAATCCAGCACATTACCTAGTGAAAACAGCACAGTAAACATTACTCATAGCTAGGTACACTCCCCTTGATCACCCTAGATGTTTAACCCCTTCTCAGCCAGTGTCATTAGTACAGTGTCAATGCATATTTTTAACATTGATCACTATTAGTGTCAATGGATCCCACAAAGTGTCAGTTAGTGTCTGACTGTCCACCGCAATATCGCAGTCCTGCTATAAGTCGCTGATCACCACCTTTACTAGTATAAACAAAAAAAAAAAAAAAGAAAAATTCCGGTATATATTGTATACCATAGTTTGTAGATGCTATAACTTTTGCACGAACCAATCAATATACAGTTATTGGGATTTTTTACCAGAAATATGTAGCAGAATACATATTGGCCTATGCTGGCTTTTTTATTGGATATGTTTTATAGCAGAAAGTAAAAAATATTGGGGTTTTTTTTTTGTTTATAGCACACAAAATAAAAAGCCTACAGGTAATCAAATTCCACCAAGAGAAAGCTCTATTTGTGGGGAAAAAATGACTTTAATGTATGTACAGCGTTGCATGATCATGCAATTGTCAGTTAAAATAACGCAGCATTGTATCGCAAAAAATGGCCTGGTCAGGGGGGGGGGGGGTAAAAACTGTAAGAATTTAAAACCACTTTCTCTTTGCCGTCCTCGTGTTCTTGTGTATGGAAATCCACGTGTGTGCTTATGTGCCCGGCAGAGCCCTTCAGCACATCTGCAGCCACGTGTTCAATATCATTCTCACCTAGGTGACAAAGGAGAAAGTGCTGCCCTACAGCACAAAAAAATAAAGAAGCACTTATAAAATATAAAAATATTCTGTGGGAGGGGGCTGGAGCCAGGTGCACCCACATGGTCTTTCAGGGTCAAGGTCCACTTTAAATCCCTCCCCTTCCTTGCCAATCACATACTTCCCACCTCAAACTTTTTAAACCCTGCCAATCTTGGCGAATGTTATAAACAGCACTTTCTGGACTTTGATCCAGATGCCAATTTAACAGCATGTTAATTAACAGCTGTTAACTTGGCATCTGGAGCAGAATCCTTCTTGCCTTGTCATGTTCTGCAAAGCACTTTCTAATTCTCCTTCCAAAACACTCAAGCCTTACAAGTTCAGTATGTGCTATCTATATCAATAACCAAGCCCTAATCATGGGGGACCCCCCAGACACCTGAAACATGTTGACTTTCGTACCTATTGATGATCTATGTGTCTTTGTGAGCTGGAAAACTGTAACTGCCACATTAACAAGAGACTTTATGCCAACCAAGTTTACATCACATCATTTTACCAGTTTTATGATGAATGATGTCTTATATTCCTAGTTTGCATTTCAAAAATACAGTAACATGCAAGTTTCATAATTTTACTGTAAAATGAAAAAAAAAAGATTTTTGTCTATCACAGCAGAAAAAAAAAGATGAGTCACTATTGCTAGGAATCTGAGCCTCGACCCTTAGATTTTCTGCAGATGTTATGGACAGATGCCAATGAACTATCTGTTGCGGAGAAGCTATACAATTTAATCATCAAGGATTATCTTAACAATTTATATTTCAATTTCAATATAAACTCAAAAGCCTTAAGAAGAATTGCCTTTTGGATCTCTGGCAACCATGCATGTTTAACTGTAAACACAAGGTCATTTTTTTCTATCTGATCCTCCCAAGCTTGCAGTTGTCTGATGTTCAAGTACATGTTGGGAAGCTTCCAAAGAATGCGCACTTGCAGATCTGAGCCCAGGCCCACAAAGTATGTGTGTTCTGTAAAGCCCTTTTAAAGTGCGTTTCCTTGCAATTAAACAGTAAAGAACTTATCCCTGACTAGGACTGATCTGATTTTTTCCTTGTGTGGTTAAACTTTATTACAAGGATACGTCAAATGCTTGGCCCCTTTTGCTTCTTTTAAATCCCTTTGCTTTCTTATTATCTTTTGTTAGTTTAGAAAAGCACAAGCCTAAGCAACCACTCCTAGGACCAGTAATACAACAGGGAATACATGTTGAAGCTTCAGATCACTGACACACGATACACCCAATCATTCCCTACTTAGTAGGTGCCAGGGGCCAACAACACAATTTGCTTATGCAGAAAACATCAAGCTTATTATCAGATGTATACTGACCACAGTTGAATGTATTTGTTGTATATCAATCTCCATGACAAACATTTTGGTCCACTTTTCTGCTTGGCTGTTGATTTACACCGACTTGTGTCTTATTATTGTTATGAAATAAGCTCCTCACTTTGACAACCACAATGAAATGTGCATTGCTAAGCTATCCCTATCCCAATGGGCACAATGTTGGCTATATAGGGGTGCCTAAAGAAAAACAGAATGAGATTATGCCAATCAACCTGGCACATATACGGGCTCAAGAAGAACAAAACCTCAGTTGGTAAAGTAATTTTGAAAATACCATAAAAAATTGTTATATTGTACTCACATGTGTATGTGACAATCATCGTGAAAATCACCAGTGTCACGTGACTTCTCACTCCTCCTGCTTATCTTCTTACCAAACATTCACTTTAGAAGGCTTATCAATTCACTCCAAATCCACCTTCTTCTCCCCTGAATCATCCTATTAGTATCATTCAAAAACTCAGCCTCTAAGGCACAGGGTTGATGATATTGGATCCGATACTCCTGCTAGATGTTACTCTTCTGGTCCCCTTATTGCACAGACTCCCAATGGGTGAATGATATATAGGACATAAAAGGATAAGTGCAGAAATCCCTGACAAAATTCTTTATTTACCATAAAACTGCTTATATAAATAGAGAGATGGAGGTTTAAATACTCGATGGCCAGTGCCCATTCCACCATCTTGAGCATTGGAAACCTGCATCTCTTTATTTATGTAAGCAGTTTTATGGTAAATAAATTGATTTTATTGTGGATTTCTGTACTATGAGCTTCTTTTATCCTTTTATGTCCCTTTATCATTCACATATTGGAGATCTGTGCAATAAAGGAACTGGAGGAGTGACATCTAAGAGGAGTATCTGATGCAACATCACCCAACCCTGTGCCTTAGGGGCTGAGTTTGGTAAAGTGTTTTGTGCACATGAGGGTGGTTTACGTTGGCATGTATTGATGGATTCACAACCTTTGCACAATATGGAGCAGAGTTTAAAAGAGAAGTATGGGTTTCTATTTTTTCCCCCAGTTATGATTACCTAGGTGGATGCAGCATTGGTCCGATGCTGCATCTGTCCCCCACCTGCTCTAAGTGTGAGAACTCAGCAACTCACAGCCACTCTGAGCAGAGAGCGGTGACTGTCAGTCAACACTCTCTGCTCAGTCCCCCCCCCCACCCAGTGCTCACTGGAGCACTGGGCTATAGAGGGGGAGGGAGTGGCTGGCTCAGGCTCTCCGTGGCTCACTGAGAGGCTGAGACAAGTGTTGCTCCAGACTCTGGGGTGAATCCCAACTTAAAGTTGGGATATTTCTCCAGCCTAGACCGTCTAAGGGACGACAGCCGACAGAGGGTGTCAGCCTGCTGTCAGCTGAAAACAGGTCACAGGAGTGTAGAATGAACTGCATCCCTGTGATCCACATGAGAACTACAGCCAAAAGAGCTTTGCCTGTACTTCTCCTTTTCATATTAGCACAATTTATTTAGTGTGCCTTAGTTGTGGTGATTCTACACTATTTTACTTATATTCTTTTTGAGTGATACTGAAAAGAAGGGATTCTGGGGAGAAGATTGTGGATTTAGACAGAATTGCTAAGCCTTCTAAAGTGGATTTTTGAAGATAAGCATGAGGGGTGAGAAGTATCACTGGTGATTTTCACACTTGATTGTCACATAGAAATGTTACCATAATATAGTAATTTTTAATGATAATTTCATAATGTCTGCGCTATATGAGTTTTGAAATGTTTTGAGGGGGATGTACACGGGATGAGATGAAGATTTTTGTGAAAGCTGTGGAAACACTGAAGTGAAAGCACTATTGGAAAGAATAGATGATACAGAGACGGGGGTGTTGTGAAGCTTTATTAGACCCATTTTGATATATGTGGGTCAGAAAATCTGGTAAGAGTAAGTGGTTGTTGCTGGATGGACTTTATTATTGCAAAAAAAAAAGCCCTAACCCCTGTCACTGTCAGTTCCACTAACCATTTGGTCTTTGGATGTAAATGCCAAGATGTAATGGCATGTTATATATATTGCTGCATTGTTCCAGCTTAGGCCAATGTAACTATGTGTTCAAAATAATAGCAGTGTGTTGAAAAAAGTGAATAAAGCTCAAA